AACTGGCTGAAAATCAATCCCAGCTCCCCATGACTGATGGAATGGAAAATATCTCGAGTGTTTGCCGAGGATTTGCAGGCAGCAAAACAAAACAAAAAGCACAAAGCTTGGCTGCCTGTAATTCCCTCCTGCATGCAGCATCCTTCAAGGGATAAAGGCGCCAGCAAAGGCTGGATCAGGGCACCTATTTTGGGATCTGTGTCCTGGCATCAGCTCTGTAGCTGAGAGGACAAGGGATGCTCTGGAGAAGTCACCCCTGGGTGGTTTCTTTGAAGGTGACTTGAGTTGTCAGGCTCTTTCCCTCCAGCAGCCAACTGGTTGGCACTGCTTCCCCAATTCAACACCTCCATATTTTACAGTTATTAAGCAAAATTTCACCTCCAGCCCAAACAAAACCCTGCTTAGAGGTGAGATGGGAAGGTTTTACCCACATTACGTCCCATTTTGCTCAAGAGAGGGGACAGAATCTTTCCCTTCAGGCTGTGCTTGCTGCTTCCATTGGCACTAAGACAATTTTCAGCTGAAGCTGGTGGTTCAGACGCTAAAGATCTTCCTGTGTGTTCAGAGAGTTTTGTCTCAAACCATTATTTTTTGGTATGTTTTTTAGCCACGCCTTTTTCTGCAGTATATTTTTGTTGTACAAGTGGGCTGCAAACTGGAGCTGGAGCTTCCCGAGCCTCTCTGTGTATTTAATATATGAAACCTGCTGGGAATTTTATTAGGAACACACCATTAAGTGAACTTCATTGGCTGCTCAGCAGAGTGGGAAAGTGAGGATGGGCACTTTATCATCCCCAGCTCCTGTCCCCGAGCCCCAGGAGGGCTTTGGTGTTCCTGTGATCATTTGTTCATGTCATGAAACCACGGAACACAACTGGGAGAGATTTGTGAGTGCTGTGGGAGCAGCAGGTGGATGCTGAGAGCTGGGATTGCTGTGTGTGGACAGGAGGAGGTTGCTCACAGCCAGCTGCTGTGATGGGACATCGTTCATCCATCGATCTCTGCTCTTCCAGAGCTTGGAATGCTCTTGGTTCCTGCAGCCTCTGCATGGTGACACAGGGCTCTGCTGGGCTTTAAAAACTGAGCACAACACATTTGCATGTTGAATTTTTAACACCAGGTAATGAAATGGAAGCAGCAAAGACAGAGTCATGTTTTGGATATTTTTCCCCTGTAATTTCCCAAACTGGTTCCGCTGAAGCTGAAGTTCCACTTCCAGCTCTGGCTGTTCTCTGGTGCTCTTGCAGCCACCCCCAAAGCCCACCAAGGTTTGGGGCTGAGGGTCAGAGCCATTTGCCACGTGTCCATTCCCCACCTCTGCAGCCTCTCCAGGGAGGTAATGACAGAAGGTTGAAACTCCCTCCAAAGTTTTTGGAAACCCCAGTTGACTTCCCAAAGGCAGCTGCCAAATGCTGGGCTGCCCTTCTCAAAACTGATGATCACACTCCAGACACAGAGCTGTCAGATATTGCAAGGGGTTTGCAGAAGTAATCTGCACTACATCACCCAAATCTGCAGCCTTAAAGGCTTCCCTCTTGCTAAATTTACCTTTTCTCCTTCCTAAATTTACTTTTTCTCCTTCCTAAATTTACCTTTTCTCCTTCCTAAATGGCTCTTACAGAAAGCAGCTCTCTCATTTTCAGGCAGCAACTGCATCCAGAATATCAGTGGCTGGCTGGATATTTCTCGTGGATATTAACTGCACAGCTTGGTCATTTGCCTCGGAATTGGTTTCATATAACAAAAGCTTTTTTTTTTTTTTTTTTTTTTTAAGGAGTCTAGACAGTGTCCCCAGTGAACTGGCACTTAAATGATGATCTAAAATCTCTCCCCAATCTACCCAGAGCAAGATTTAGATGTCTTTGTCTCTTATATCTCAGCAGCCTCGCTTTAAGCTTTTGATGCAGCAGTGTATGATTTTTAAACCAATATGGACTTTTTGCCTGAATTTGCCTGACAATGAGTGATTGCATCCCTCGCTCCCGCATTCCAAATTAATGGAGTTGTGCACAGCAGCTGCTGTAATTTACTGAGTGCTACCGCGGGAAGCAAAAGCAGCAGCAGCAGCGACAGAAAACGCTGGGTTTAGCCAGGGAAAAGCTGCTAATTGCCCTCGGAAAGGAAGGGTGGTGCCAGTCACCAGCATTCCCAGGGGAGCACTAAAGCCAAGGAGATATCAGGTTATCCCCCAGGGAAAGCTTTGCTGTTCGGTTGATTTCTTGGCTGATTTGGGGCTCCAGAAATTTGGGTTATTTCTGGATGTAGGGGACAGATGTTGGCTGGACTCAAGGCCAGACTGGATGGGATTTGGAGCAGCCTGCTCTGGAGGAAGGCGTCCTTGGCAGGGATGAGTTTTAATCTCCATTCCCAAACATTTTATGACAATTCCAGGACTCCTGGATGTAGGAATGTGCCCCCTGTTGACAGAGTAAACAAGTTACCCTTTGTCTCCTTAAAAAGGAAAAAAGCCCAGATTTTTCTCTTTGTAATTTGGTTAAAAGACACCTCATAGGACCTTGGGGGCTTCACCTCAAACTTAAGGAGAGCCAATTGGACAGGAGCCAAAAAGTCCCGCCTAAGCAATTCCCTAGAAAAATAAGAGAACAAAAGAAGTAAATTGCTTTTGTGAAGTGTTTTAGCAGGAGCAAGAACCTCAGTTTTTCCCTATAAAGAGCTTTTTTATTTTGCCTTTTATTAAAACTTCCTTGTTTCCAACACTGTCACAGGAGCCATCCTGCTACTTTATGCCACTTGAGGTAGCTGAGCTATCGAGGGTAGGATGTTTGTCCATATGAGAGTCTATGAGAGCCCTACACCTGGCTGTGGATTTCTCCTCAGCATTGCAGAGGTGATCCCTAACCCCGCCCCATGTTTGTGTTGCGCAGGTTTGGTACATGGACAGCTACCACAACAACCGCTTCGTCCGCGAGTACAAATCCATGGCGGATTTCATGAACACCGACAACTTCACCTCCCACCGCCTGCCCCACCCGTGGTCGGGCACGGGCCAGGTGGTCTACAACGGCTCCATCTACTTCAACAAATACCAAAGCCACATCATCATCAGGTTCGACTTGAAGACCGAGACCATCCTCAAGACGCGCAGCCTGGACTACGCCGGCTACAACAACATGTACCACTACGCCTGGGGCGGCCACTCGGACATCGACCTCATGGTGGACGAGAACGGCCTCTGGGCCGTCTACGCCACCAACCAGAACGCCGGCAACATCGTCATCAGCAAGTTGGACCCCAACACCCTGCAGAGCCTGCAGACCTGGAACACCAGCTACCCCAAACGCAGCGCCGGCGAGGCCTTCATCATCTGCGGCACCCTCTATGTCACCAACGGCTACTCGGGCGGCACCAAGGTGCACTACGCCTACCAGACCAACGCCTCCACCTACGAGTACATCGACATCCCCTTCCAGAACAAGTATTCCCACATCTCCATGTTGGACTACAACCCCAAGGATCGGGCTCTCTACGCCTGGAACAACGGGCACCAAATCCTGTACAACGTCACCCTCTTCCACGTCATCCGCTCCGACGAGTTGTAGCCCGGCCTTGGTTTGAAACTGGGTTTAGGGGGGGGAAAAACAAATAAATAAATTCAAGAGAAAATTAAAAAAAATAATAATAATAAAAAGGAAAAAAAAGGGAGAAACTAATTTAAACAAAAATGCTATTAAGGAAACATACTTTAAATAAGTAAACATATAAACAGCTGCCAAAATTAAGACCAACATCATGGAGGATTATTCAGCATAAGCCTGACAGATCAGCATTACCTCTACATTTCTAGAAGTCTGGCCCTGTGTTATAGACTCACGAGTAACCGTGTACTTGCAGCTGGAACTGCACTCAGAGAACCACTTCAGTTTGGGGTTTTGTTTCGTTTCTGTTCTGATAGCAAACCTAGAGAACATCCTCAAGCAGTAAGGCAATGACTGTTGGAAGTTCACCCTCGGGAGCCTCGCTCTCCTCCGTGTGTGGGTTGCATGGACATTCCCCCGGCGCCACGGGCAGCTGTGATGGATGTGTGGAAAGGAAAAGCAGGAAAAGCTGACCCGTGAGGAGCTCTGGCTGTCTCAACAAGACCTATCACAGGTTAGTTTTCTTTGCCTTCCATTGCAGCTACTGTCTCTCTCAACTGTGTTCTTGTCACTTAGATTAACTGTGCTGAGACCCGAAGTAGCTCATGGATCTGTGTCTTAGTAACTTATTAAACACGATGGTTTAAGTATGTATTATGAACAAGTTGTTGTACCCATATTGTTTGAACTTATGTATTCAGCAACTATATTGTATAATGTATGTCTGTTATTTACCAGAGGTGGCAAAACTTTGTATGTCCAGTTTATGCAATGAATGTTGTAAATGCAATGATGTAGTTTGGATTTAATAAATGATGGTTTTTTCGTTTCTAAAAAGGCAAAAAAAAATAAAAAAAGGTCAGTGTTCACCCTTATACACAGGTAACCAATTTCATGTTGATAATTACAGGAATATTCTCTTACTGTTATCTATCTACATAGCATTATGGTGGTTGGAAATCACTTCCGTGGAGATTCTGTGGCAGCAGATTCCCATGGGAAGCTTTGTTTATGGAAGTGTGAAGGTAATTAATTTTTTTTTAAGAGGAAAACTTTGTACTATCCACAGTTATCTAAGGAACAATAAAACTATTAGGAGACTTCCCTGCTTTGTTTGTTGTCTTCTCTGTGTGAGGGAGCCAGTGCAGGGGAGGGAGAACAGGAATTTTTTGGGGTAAATGCTGAGCAGCCATCCTGAGTTTCCTTCCAGGGAATATTTCCTGATGTGTAGCTGGGGCTGGGAGGGTGGAGGGTTGGTGCTCTGCTCTGTAGGGATTCCCTCCCCATTTTCATCTGGAGCAGGCACTGCTTCAAGGAGATAAAATCCCGTGGTTGCTCCTGCCGCGGGCAGGATCTGGCCATCCCCTCAGGGACTGACAGTGTCTGGTGTTGGTGCCACCACAGGAGGAAACCTCATCATCTGCCACTTCTATTGGAGCTGCAGACACTGCTTGGGACCCCCGAGAGCAACTGGATCTCATTCCTTCTTGGATTCCTGGAGTGCTCCCCACCATGAGTTTACTGCAGGCTTGTGCAGGTAAAAATCTCCTTTATTTTACTTGTTCTAAAGAGCCCTCCTGGTCCTGCCAAAGCAGGGCCCTCAGGGGGTACAGGATGTTCTCAGGTGGGAGATGTGGGGGCTCATCTCTCTTTGCTGTGAGATTCGGGGTCCCATCTATCTCTGGTGTGAGATGTGGGGTCTCATCTCTTTCTGTGACAGACATGAGATCCCATTTCCCTCAGGTGTGAGATTTAGGGTCTCATGGCTCTTTTCTGTGATATTTGAGGTCCCATCTCTCTCTCTGGGAGATCTGAGGTCCCATCTCTCTGTGTGTGAGATCTGGGGTCTCATCTCTCTCTCTGCTGTGAGATTTAAGGTCCCATCTCTCTCTGTGTGTGAGATGTGGGGTCCCATCTCTCTCTGGTATGATATTTGAGGTCCCGTCTCTCTCTGTGTGAGATTAGGGGTCTCATCTCTCTTTGTCTTGAGATTTGGGGTGCCATCTATCTTTGCTGTGAGATTTGGGGTGTCATCTCTCTCTGCTGTGAGATTTGAGGTCCCATCTCTCCCCTGCACCTCCAGAAGAACAATATTTAGCAATTCCCCCTCCAGCCAGCTCCAGGTGAAGGGCCAGCACCTTCCCGAGCCACGCAGGGATCCCCCTGAGCTGGATCTGGAGGGCAGCTGGGGCACGGTCCCTGTGCAAGCTGCAAAGGGCTCGTTGGGGTGGTGTGAGCTCCTCCTTGCCTCTTCCCCCACAGATTGGCCACTTTTAGCACCACCAGGAATGACAATTTTTCAGCCAAGTGGCCCAGTGAGGCTCAGCCTTTGGGCTCAGCAGATGGATGGTTTAGGGCCCTGGGAAGGAGCAGGGATCAGCGAGGTCAGGAAATTGAATATCAGCAATCGGTGTTTGCTGCAAGCTGCACATCCAGATTTCAGCCTCTCGGCCTTTGCAGCAGTTCCCTGCTGGGCTCTCCAACAGGAGGAGGGAAAAGGGGAAAAACAAAGCAGTGTAGTGTGGTTTTTCAGAGCTGGATTAAGCCACAAGCACCGAGCAATCCTCCCTGTGAAGATGTTCCAGGCAGTTCCACGGGGCTGAGCCTGCCCTGTGTCAGCTCTGCTGCTCTCACTGAAGCCTTGGCTGGATGCAGAATGGGGACAGCTCTCTGAGGACTCATTCCTCTGCTGCACTCTGCAATTCCAGCTCTCTGGACTGCCAGCTTTGTGGAGAACTTCGCTGTTTAGTAGTGCTTTTCCCTCCAAGAAGGTTAAAAAGGGGAGCTGGAGACCCACGGTGTAATTGGCAGCAGTATTGATCCTCAATGTGCAGGAGAAACCTGTTAAGCCAAAAAAGCAGGAAGGTACCTGCAGTCATTTCTATTTAATTAATGTATTTCTTCAGTGCAAACTCACTGAAGGGCAGCACACTGGTACTGTAAGGGCTAGAGCTGCATCCAGGGATGCTGCAAACGATGGGACAGAGGCTGGTGATGGCACCAGGGCTGGGCTTGGCACTGGAACTGCTCCTGCCCAGCTCCTCGAGGGTTTTAGGGTGGAAAAGTGGGTGGGAATCCTGGCTGTACCATGTGCTGGATGGATTTTTGGTGTAGTTTGTTGTCCCAGCAGCCAGGCTTAGTGTCCTTCATCCTAAAAGGTGTTCTAATGAGGGGGTGGTTCCTCTCCAAGACCCCAAATCTCACAGCAGAGGGAAATGGGACCCCAAATCTCACACCAGAGGGAAATGGAAACCCAAACCTCACAGCAGAGGGAAATGGGACCTCACACCTTACAGCAAGACCTCTGCAGGCGTTGACAGAGTTTGCCCCAGCCAATGTGTCCAGTTTTGGGGGGAGGTTTCAAGCAGAGCACAGCACGTGGCAGGGCACCACTGAAACCTGCACAGCCCACCCAGGCACACCAACACCACCCTGTGCCACATTCCCCACAGCCAGCACGGTCATTAGAGAAGGAGTTGAGGACAAAAGAACACGCCCGCTTCAAAACATCGATCTGCAAAAATAAATCGAATTACAGAAAGGCAAAATAATGCTGTTTGCTTTAGGACACGGCTACATTTAGATTCTAATTTTCCGAGTGCAATTCATTTAAGACAAAGGCTCCAGAGCACAAAATGTCCTTGAAGGCAGCAGAGCAGGAGCAGCTCCTGTGGAACATGTACCCAGAGTTAATGAGATGAGAGGAGCGCTTTGAGGGGTGTACCTTTGTCCTATTTGCCTGTAGTGCAATATTCTATAAATGGATGCCATATGGCCGTACCCTTAATGGTATGGATCAGATTGGAAGTGGATGAGCCACTCAAAGACAAGAACATCCCAGAGGATTGCTTTCTATAGCCTATGACTTCATTATTTGATGCACGAGGCTTGTTGGTCCAAATTTAGTGCTGGGAGTCAGTGAGTTGCTTCAGAGGAACATCTGACCATGGTTCTGTGTGAGCGTGTGTTTATGTGTTGTTAATATTTGCCAAGGTATTCCTTGGGAAGCCCTGCTCCAGGGATTTGGGAAGGTTTGGTGCACAACCCAAGCTGCTCCCAGCCCCACCAGCCCTGTCCCAGCTCCGTAGCTGGGACAGATTTAATGGAAAGGGAATTTTTTATGAATGACAACACAAGGGGGAATGGCTTACATTGAAATAAAGGAGATTTACATGAGATATTAGGGAGAATTTTTTTCTGGGAGGGTGCTGAGGCCCTGGCACAGGGTGCCCAGGGAAGCTGTGGGTGCCCTGGATCCCTGGAAGTGTCCAAGGGCAGGTTGGATGGGGCTTGGAGCAGCCTGGGCCAGTGGAAGGTGTCCCTGCAGGACACCCTGCAGGGGTGGGATGGGATGATCAATAAGGTCCCTTCCAACCCAAAATTTCCATGATTTAATGTTGCCTTCATCCCAGAGCCCTCCAGCCGGGTCACACCTGCCTTGGGATGAAGAGGGCAGCTGGTGGGATTTGCTCTTATTCCTGCATTTCACCAGGCAGTGACCCTGCCCTACCCTTGACTCATCCCAGGAGATCCTGCCCAGCTCTGGGCTGTGAAATGCAGCTCTGGGCCTTGCAATGCAGCTCTGGGCAGTAAAATGCAGCTCTGGGCCTTGCAATGCAGCTCTGGGCAGTAAAATGCAGCTCAGGACTGTGAAATGCAGCTCAGGGCTGTGAAATGCAGCTCTGGACAGTGAAATGCAGCTCAGGACAGGGAAATGCAGCTTGGGCTGTGAAATGCCCCCCAGTCTGTCCCAGGAATTCAGTGAAGCTCACTCAGCACCTGGCCTAGAAGCCAGGCAGAAACCCTGGCTGCTGTTTAGCACCATCACAACTCTGAGAGCTGAAAATTTCCCTTTCTTCCTTTGCTGTCACTTCCCTGACCTTCATTAGTTCTGCAAGCACCGAGTGCTGAGCCCATATGGAGACAGTTATCATAAAAACCTGAATCCTGGCCCCTTAATTAGCTCCTCATTATCTCAGAGCACCATATTGAAGCATTAAGAACTTGCGAAGCAATTTGTTGAGTTTCCAATTAAAACTTTTTTAGAATTGTTGAGCCTTTTAATACTTTGTGTTTACAAATTGCCTTGGACCCACACCAACACACACATTTCCTTCACTGGGGAAATATAACTGAGGAGCTGCTCGTTACTTATATAAAACCCCAGGTTTTAATAAAGTCATAAACCATGTCAATGAGGCTGCTCTTTTCATACCTGATACAATAGAGATGACTCTGAATGAGTGCAGAGGAGTTAGAATCATTAAGAGGGCAATTAGAGGCTGATTTCCTAATAACTCCACTTTTACAGCACTGTGAAAACAAATGTACACATCCCTCTTCATATTAATTTACCTTGGATGTGCTCCTGCCTGTTGACAGGTCCTGAGACCTCCTGTTCCAGCACTTTGCAGCCTCAGGATCATTGGAATAAATAAAAGCCAGCTGAGCATGGATTATACTCAGTGGATCACACCAACTGGGAGCTGGAGGAGTGCAGCCACAAACACAAGAGGAAAATTCGCTCTCCTGAGAGGCACAGATGGGTCCATGGGTAGATTTACCACGGTGCCCAAAAATTTGGGGAGGTGAGTGACCACTTGACAAGGCCAGGGATGAGCTGTTGCTGAAATCTGCAGGGAAGGGGAGCAGCAGTGGCTCTGCTGGCCTGAAGAAGGATGAGGGATGTGCTGAAAACCTCCCAAACGTGGCTCCCAAGGTTTTTGGAAAGGATGGCCACGTTCCCATCACATCCATGGGGACAAAGGAGGGGTGCAGCAGAACAGGCAGCAGCCCTCAGGGGTTTAACTCCTCCCAAATTACTTCTTCCTCCTGAAAAACAGAGCCAGGAAGGAGAAATTCATGGCTGTCAGGAGTATGTTGTGTGACCAGCACAGGAGAAGTGGTTTTGGGGTGTGGCAGAGCTGTGACAGCCTCAGGAGCCACAACCTGAGCTGGGCTTTTGTTCCTTGTGATAATACAGCACTTATCTTCTCTGGGATGTTGTAAAGCCAGAGCTGATCTGGATTGAACATGTCATTTGTATTCCCACGCTGGTTTTGAAGCAAATCTGTCAAATCAAACCCCCCCCCCCAAAAAAAAAAAAAAGAATTAAAAGAGGAGTGGTTGCATAAAGAATAGTCTGGGCAGGCAGCTGTGGTCACTGATGGCTTTGGTGTCCTCGGAGGGGAGGCAGAAGTGACTCTCAGGGACAGGGAGCAGCACCCCAAACCAGCTGGAACCCCACAGGGGCTCAGAGCCATCCCCACAGGTTTGTTCCTTGCTGGTCCTCAGCTCAGACAAGGGCTGAGCTTTTCCTCACCCCCCTTCTGCCTTTCTGACCTGGCTTTTAGAGAAGCTCCTCACCTCGAGGAGAATTTTCCCCTTTATCACATTTTGGCACTTCCTGAGCTAGCAGAAAAGGTGTCTGCAGGCAGAGCAGCACCGTGGGCCCTTCCTCAAACACTCCCAGCACCAGAGGAAACCCAAATCTGCCATCTGTGGTAATTCAGCATTTCCCTGTCACTCAGAATGAACATTAAAGCTCCTCCTCTCCTTTCCCACCAAACTGGCCCTGGAATTCTGACAAAATGCACACCCTGTGGCTGCAAAGGGTCACCCCAGGGGCTGGCAGCCACCCAGGAGTGCCCTCTGGAAGGAGGAGCTCAATTAAAGTTTGATTTCAGCTCTGCAGTGCAGATGGATTTTAAATGAGCAGCTGGGCAGGAATTTGCCAGTGAGCCTGGCTGGGAGCAGCAGACAGGCAGCTGTGCTCTGCTGTGGGAGCAGAATCCAGGGAAAATCCACTGGATAGCTTGGGATCACCTGGCAGCAAATATTGGAGGGGGGAAGGACAGATCTGCCATGGTGAGAGGGACACTGGTGGCTCTGGGAGCTTTGAGAAGGGAGAGGTGGGCGAGTCCTGCAATCCAGGAGGAGTTTTCCTGGAGAAATGGAAGTAGATGAGGCCCACTGTCTTGGAAAACAAATATATTTGTGCCCTCAAATAAAATTTCCTCTTGCAAACCCCACCCGAGGCTGGCAGCAGCAGAGGAACGCTTCCAGACATCCACATTTCTTCTTTCCTGTCATTTCCCCTGGAACACCTGGAAAAGGCAGCACAGATCACAGGAGCAGCAGTGGCCACAGGGATTTGGGATTTGCAGGGGATGGAGACAAGCAGGGCTTGGAGTGGTGATGAGGATGATGACACCAGGCCAGATGTGCAGCCCTGTCTCCTCACTGCCCACATGAGGATGCTGGATCTCCTCTGGGGATTTTAGGATTTCTTATCCCTGGGAAGGAAACCAGGTGCTGGAAACTGAGGATGTTGTGCAGGAGGAGATCCCAAATTCTTGCTGAGCATCCCCCAGTCCGTGACACAACCCAGGTGCAGGTGTTTGCAGATATTTGGGGCGTGCATGCAGGGTGTTTGGGGTGTGTTTGCAGATGTTTGGGGTTGTTTTGCAGGTTTTTGGGGTGCTTTTGCAGGTGTTTTGTGTGTTTGAGGTGGTTTTGCAGGTGTTTTCATGTGTTTGGGGTGGTTTTGCGGGTGTTTGCATGTGGTTGGGATGGTTTTGCAGGTGTTTGCAGGTGTTTGAGGTATGTTTGAGGTGGTTTTGCAGGTGTTTGGGTTGGTTTTGTAGGTGTTCCCTGCATTCCCAGCACAGCCCTCGCTGCTCCAGCATCAGAGGAGGGTGAAACTCTGTAAACCAGCAGGGCTCCGTGCCCAGATTCCAGCCACAACATTTCACTTTGGAAAACTCGATAAACCAGAGGGTTTTTTACAAAGAAAAAAAAAAAGAACCCCAAAAAAAAAACCTGTCAGCCGTTTAATTAGCAGCCCTCTTTACTGCATCACCACAATGTTCACATCCCTGCTCCTTCCAGCAGCACAGGGCTGGGAGCCGGGATAAAGAGGTAAAAAATGTTCCAGCCCTCGGTGTAAAACCAGCCCTGTGCAGCTGGAGCAGATGGGAGGAAAGCTGCACAGGGCAATCAGAGAAGGGTCAGCAGGAATTTTGTCCTGGGGGCGATGGTGTCTAATGGGCTGTGTGAGCAGCTGAAATGCTCTCTGGAAGCACAGGCTGCTGCTGGAAAAGGGCCACCAGAGCTGCACAGCCGTGCTCTAATGTGGTTTCTGGAAATGATAAATCGAGTGTGAATGCTGGGATTGCCACCAGGATTTCTGTGGGTGCTCTGCTGTCAGGTCAAGCACCCACTTGGAGCCTCACAGGAGTCCTGGAGCACTGCAGAAAATCCTGATTTGGGTTTGGGTTCATGGATTCCTGGATTGGTTTGGGTTGGAAGGTAACTTAAATCTCATCTCCTTCCATGCCAGAGACATTTCCCTAAGCCCAGGTTGCTCCAAGCCCTGTCCAGCCCAGCCCTCAGCCCAGCTGCAGCTGAAATTCCATGGAACTGTGGTGGGTCATTAATTGCCTCCTTCCTAGTGAAGGGAAAGAAGGATTCTCCATGAGAACACCCCCAAAAATATCCTTGCACGAGGAACAAGAACTGCCTGGAAGTGGAAGGGAGAAAAAGTACAAACCCAAGAACATTTCATCCCATAGCAACAAGCCCGTTCAACAGGAGGAGCATGTTCACAGCAGAGCCCTAAAAAAGGAGCTGTTAAAATAAACATTGGCATATCTCACACCTCCCTCTTCCCTGAAGGATGCTCCCTGGAAACACATGTGGACAAACTAGGGACGGGAAGGAAAATAGGGATGAAGGGGGAGATGAGAGGTATTCTAATTAAGTGCTGGAGTTAATCTCTGTTGTCTTTCAGTATCTAATAAGTTTAATGATTTGGTGTCTCTGTTGTTCACTGACAAATCCAGAGTTTCTTACAGAGCATCTGATCATGTTATCCCTTTGCTTTTTATTTCCTAAAATACTCCAGGAATTTCTGTGGAGCCTTTGCCCTACATTTCACATTTTAGGCAGGTGCCAGAGGCCCCATTACCCCTCTGCAAGCGCCCTTCAAGCTTCAAGTTCCAGGGGGTTTTCCCTGCTTTATGTGTGTTGCTGTGCTATGTGGAGGGACAAAAAAAAATCCCATTTTTTCTTTTATGAACTGGAACAAAACTCCTGGAGCCTTTACAAGCCTGTGCTGGCCCTGCTTTGGTGTCCTAGGGGGGATACTTGGAGCAGCAAAGGTCTCTGCTCTGGGAAATCCATTTCAGTTCTGGGAAATCCATCTCCCCTCCCTCTGGGCACAGCTGGGAGGTCACAGATGCTTTTTGGAAAGCCCAAAATTTCCTACCTGCAGGCAGGTATCACACCTGGTCTCCAGTGACACCCCTGAGAAGCAGAGTCAGATTTGCACATGCTGATCTCCCAGGAAAAGGCAGGATAATGGTATTTTGGAGTTAACATCACACTTGCACTTCCATCCCTTCCTCTTTCCCCTCTCTTTGTTTTAATCTTTGGATCAAGGCAGGCCCAAACACCAATATGCAGGGCAGAGCAACTGGAAATGTGATCAGAGAGCAGGGCAGTGATGAGACAGTTCATCTTCCCTCTGCACACAGCACTGGGAAATAAAAGAAGCTTCAATAAATCAAATTGTCCCTGCTGTGGAAGCAAAAGCAGCAGCAGGTGGAGGGGGAAGTTTGCTCTGGCTCCCGTTCTGGGATGCCCTGGGTTTTTCCATGCTCAGTCCCAACAGCAGGGCTTGGGAATGTGGGAGACAGCCAGGCCTGGAAAGGCTCATTGCTGCTGAGTTCACTCCTCTGCTGAAGTGTGGGCTGCTATCCACACCTTTGGGATAATTCCCTTTTACCCTGGGAACGGGTTTAACTCTGTCATGGGGTTGTTCTCAGTGGAATTCAGAGGGCAGCAAAACCAGCCAGGTTTTCCTTGCTCACCCACCATTTCTGATGGAGAGCACAGGTGCTGAGAGATCTCCTCCAAGCCCTCAGTCCAGCTGCTTTTGGAGGAGCACCAAGCTGGGCTTGAAGATGGGAGTAGCAGAAATCAGATGACCCCTGACAGGAAGAAATGATGATGTCTGGTTTAGATTAGAAGGTTGAAGGATTAGTTTTATTAAAATTATACTATATTAGATTAGTATACTATTTAAAGAGATACTATGCTATTCTACATACTTACTTCTTACTTATCTAACAAAAGCCAGGGAATCTCAGAAAAACGGGAAGCAGGACAAGACAAACGCAGATCTGAACCAATGTGGTTAATCAAACGTTCTCCCTTTATTCGAGATAAGATGGTAGTTTATATCAGCTGCTACATAGTTTACAAAAACAAAGACACTCTGATTGGCAAGCTAACATAGTCTACCTTTTCCTTAAAGTGGCCTAAACCTTACACTATAAAACCTATCCTAATTCACACCCAGACAGCCCAGTGGTCCCCGTCACACGTTAATACTATTTCTATCTGTGCCACAAGCTCTGAATTTCTAACTGCGTCAGAGGCGTGAAGGCCTCACCAGGCCCATATCTGAGGCCTAGACTGGAGTAGCTCAAATCTCATAACTCATGTCCTCTTTCTCCCAAAAATGCTGCAACATCTAACTAATTAACAAATTTGTGATTCTCTGCTGAAAGTCCAGCACAGCTGGATCCCATTTGTCACTGACCCCAAAAATCCTTCCAGAATCCAACCCAGCCATCACTGCAGGTGAACAATCCCCACACCACATTCCACATGGGGAAAACAAAGGAGCAGAGAGAAAGATTGTTCTCTCTTCTTCTCTCTGTGCAATCCTGAGAGACAGAATTGTGTCTGTCTGTCCAGAGAAGGTGAATGCCACATGGGAGCAGGGTGGTTTGGCACCTGCACCCTGGGGAAGGTGACCTGGGGGCTGGCAGAGCCTTCCCTGCCCTCCAAAAACTCCAACCGTGCTGTCAGCGTTCAGAAACACACAGAATCACAGGATATGATCATGTGCAGGTGATTTTATTAAGAGCTCTGGGAGTCGGGGTACAAACCCAAATCTGACTCCGACACGGCTTTCAAGCTGAACGTATTTTATATTCTATCGTTCTATAACTTACACATTAATTATGAAACTTGTAATGTTCTATCGTATACATTGACATGAGTTTATCGTGATCTTTCTTAGGTCCCTGACCACAGTTTATCATTATTATTCTTTCTGATTAAACAGTAATTATATTTAATTACTAAACAATCGTCACATCTAACAATTATATCATTTATCATGTACTAGCTACATAGTGCAGTTCTAGCAAGTACAAGTTCTTCATGTGCTTCAGGTATTTATTTTTCCAGGGCCTACTGAGCTTATTTTCCTGTTAACCCTAAATCCCCATGATTTTAAAACCCTTTTACTATCACTGCAGGACAGAGCTCCAGCCCCACGCTGCAGGTTGGACATTCCACCTCCTCTTGCATAATCACCGGGCTGAGGGGGAAAAACAAAACACCTGATAAAACTTCCCACTCACACATCCAACCCACCCCAAAGGACTCCTGGCCCTGGTGGAACAGGAGATTGTGAGGCTGCCAGGAATAGGTGGCAATCAAATCATGAATGCTGCAGCCCACTCCCATCTGCCAGAGCAAAATCCTGCCCGAGGGAAAGCCGGGAGGGATGGGCTGCTCTGCATCCTCCCCTGGGCACAGCACCTGCTGCACTCCCCACGTTCTCATTTCCAGCAGGGTGGGCAGAGCTTTTCCTGAGGCAGGAGGAATTGCTGGCTGCAGATGGAATTGCTGGAATGCAGACATCTGGCTGCCAGCGCCACGCTTTGCTCCATAAAGTGATGTTGGCAGTGCTGTGTGAAAACATTGATGGAAGATGAAGCCAGACACTGGGAGGGGGGGAAAAAAAAAAGTGTAAAACTTTGGAATTCAGTATTGTGCTGTTTTGAACATCACCGAGTGGGTTTGGAGTTGGAAACAGCAAGGGGCTGGTTGTGGTGGTGGAAAAAATCAGCAAAAATCAATGTATGAATGAGGGTCCCTTTGCAGCAGCTGTGCTGACACAGCCGTGGCTGCTCCAGGGGGTGTGGGACCACCCTGGGGTCCTGCTTTGGGGTAGATCAACAGCTCTCAGCTCCCAAATATCCCCAGGCTGCCTCCTGCCAGGCCCTTTGGGTGGCTTTGCTGTGACCTGGGTGGGGTTGGGCTGAGCAAGGCGGTGATGTCCCCACCAAAGCCTGGATTTGCAGGTGCTTGTGTGGGTTTGTCAGAAGGGGGATGGATAAATGAGATAAAAGAGACCTCAGCTCTCCATCAGCCACCTCTCAGAGGACACCTGGCTTGGTCTGGAAGGTGAGAGCAATCCTGTGGGATTTGGGATGGTGTGCAGGACTGGGGATAACCACCAGAGGCAGGAAAAAAAAACCACATTTAACCCCAGAAATCCTTTTCATCAGCTGCTTTTGTCTCCTGTGCCTGAGATGTGGCTGGCCAGGAGATGGACAATGTCCGAGATGGATATCATGGAAATCATGTGAATGCAACTTTCACGTAAATTTTATCAAGGGATTCAACAACTCCTGGACACTGAATTGTTCTCCCTCATCACCAAAATAGAAAATCTTATTAACCTATGGAATCTGAATGGAAGAAAAGACTGACTGCCGAAATCTTGGCCTCAGGTGGAATTTTCCCTATAAAAACCGCTTGTGCCAGGATGGAGGGGTGTGGGTGTGGGATTCCTTCAAATCAGAGGGTTTTGGGCACCTTGCAAAAGGCAGGCCTCAGAGATGGCAGGATGGTGATTAGAGCTAAGCAGTAGCTATAAGATTTGTCAGCAGAAAAACTATACAAGTAGAAAGAAAGAACAAATAGAACAATGGTGTGTGTATTAACGCTTGGGTAGAATAACCCCCTAAGTTGCAGAAAAGTATATCTGGTGAGATATTAAGAAGGTCTAAGCTTAATAATGGAGCTCTGTGCATTGTATCTTGAGGCTTACAAGCAAGCATTGTATTCGAAATAAGCAAGCATTGTTTTAACCAAAAGTATGTGTATTTATAGTGATTGGATAGAACTACTGTCAATACGCTTTTGCTTTGTGTGACTGGTCAAAAAGTTTATAAAGTAAGTTGTAACATTAATTCTGGGTCTGCTGCCCGGCATGTGAGCTGCTGGCATCTTCCCATTGTTATAACCATATAATGAGACTGATGATAAAAATAAACAGCTCGAGATGCATTCCCAGCAGTCCTGTCCTGTTTGTGATATGTGGGCATAGAGGAAAACCTCTGCTGAGGCTGACTCCTTGTTGCACACCCAGGGCCGACCCCAGGCTCAGCTCTGTTCTTTCTTTGTGGCTGGCTAGATAGAATTGGATTGCAAAATAAATATTTTATTTTTCCATTTTAATTTGGCTGGACGAATTTTCATTTATAACATTATCAAAGCGCTGTGGGGAAAACACAGAGCTGGGAGCTTGGGATCAGGGCAAACACAGCCCCCTTCCCTTACAAGGGCTTTTTGGGAGGCTGGGAATGTGAGTTTTGAGGAGCTGGTCCTGGGCAGAGACCTTGCATGTGTACAGAGAGTGCTGATTCATCTGCCTGCCACTGGAGACAAAAGAACATCTAATTAAGTCACCCGTGTATAAATAAACGTACAAGGTACAAGCTCTGGAGCGCAGAACAGCCCTGGAAAATCTCAGAAATGCACAATTTGCTTTTCCTCTCTCTGTCAGGGCTGGAGCTCACCTCTGGGACCACCCTTTTGTTTAGAAATATCAAAGGACGGGATTTTTCTTCTTATTATTTTTCTGTTGCAGTATTAGTTTTTAACATCAAAATTCAGTCATTTCCTCTTTCCCTGCAGTTCAGCCGAGTCTGCTTTGATAACCCTCCAAATACTCCGAGCAGGAAGGACTCACTTCCAAGGGTGTGTGGGTTCTGCATCCTTTTTTTTTTTTTTTTTTTTTTTTGGAAGAGGGAAAAACAACAGCAATATCAAGAAAAACAGAGCAATTAACTGCTGCCCTAATTGCGGTACTGATGGCCAGGCTGATGTGCCCGAAGCTGCGGGACAGCACCAGCTCTGTGTGTTAATTAACCTCATTAAAAGCCCTTGAATTGGGCTCAGAAAGGAGTGAGACCCTGCATAGTCCGGAGTGGGAGTTGGGATTAATGTGGCTTTTTTTTCCTGCAATCCCCAGCTTGGGAATAATTTGGCTTTTTTTTCCTGCAATCCTCAGCTTTGCTGTGGGGGTTCCCCCTGCATATCCCTCTGCTACAGCTTCCCAGGATTTTCCAGCTTGCCTGATTTTCCCATCCTGAGCTGAGTTCTCCTGGCCTCTGAACATGCACAGGAATCAACCTTTCCCCGTGGAAGTCTTTGCCATAAACCCATTTATTGTTATTTTTACGGCCCTTTCCCTTCGCTGTTAAGCCACCGAGAGATGCCTTTGTTGTGTTTTGAGGCAATTAGTTTTGATGGCATAACGAGGCTGATAAATTACCACCTCTGCCAGGAGCTTTGGGTGTTTGTGAGTGTCGGAACTCAAAATGTCCCTCAGACATTTTTGGAGGTTCCAGGCCCAGGTCAGAAGCATTTGAGACCCTGGCAGGCAGCTGGAAACAGCTGTGATTTTGGGTTTGAACCATGGAATGATTTGCCAACCTTGCAGGTGGAACAAAGAGTCACAAAAGTTTAGATATTATAGTAGAAGTAGTTACAAAGTACAGGGAAGATTTTTTTAATTTGTACAAGGGGTTTTAACACCTGTACAGGGGGTTTTTACTTTGTACATGGGAGTCAGAGGTTTTAAGATGGAGGAATGTAGGCCGGTCCTGCTCCTCCTCTTTCTTCTTCCTTACCTCCATGTTCTTGGTGATGTTGGCACTCACAGGTTGGTTTAGAGTAGAAAAGCACCATTTAATATAGGTAATAGGCATTGGGGAAAAACTGTACCCATGTAACATGTAATGTACCATATAAAAGATAGAAAGGCACCATTTAGTAGTCGGGAGTCAGAGAGGATGTCAGGGTGTGTGTGTGCCTCTGCCTGAGCTGTGAGAAAACCACAGCAGCCCCAGGAGAAAATCTTTTAGATAACTTGCAATAAATAACCATGAGACCAAACAACATGAGGCTGCTGAGTTTTCTTTGGAGGCACGGCTTGGAGGAGAGACTTTTCCACCACGCGGAGCCCCTGAACCAGGCCGGGGTTCTGTCAGAATCCCGCCCGTGTCTCTCTTCTGCCACACTCCTGAGGTTTTTTTATGGTGCCTCGAGGGTGACAGCAGCAAAAATCACAGCAGGTGTCCCTGCCCAGGGTACGGGGGTGGGAATGAGATGATTTTTAAGGTTCTTTCCAGCCCAAACCAGTCTGGGATTGTGAAAAATGCATATTATATGGCTCTACGCAGGTAGTTACTATATGTGTTATGTTGATTAGTTGTGCTTTTGTAGTTAAAATGAAGACTTTAGAAGTTAAAAAAAAAAAAAAATAGAGACTCTCTATGTGGGGGGGGAAGTTTTTTTTGGTTTTTTTTTTTTTTTTTTTTTTTTTTTAGGAATGAGATACTCGCTTTGAGGAACACCTAAATCATCCAAAGGAAAAAAATTTATAGCTTCTTATCAGAAGAAATTAATTTCTTCAAGCCTTGCTCAGACTGGAAGACACCAGGGGATTAAAGGAAACAGCTGACATACAACAGACAGAGTTTCTTGTTTTAAATAGAATGTATGCATAACCATATATGAATATGCAACAAGTGTATTGTTTCAAGGGTGATTCCTTTGTTCACAAGGGATACTTTTTGTGACTTAGTGTCCCACAGCATCCAGACATCCGTAATTCTTTGCCTTTTATTGTCTTTTAATTGTCCTAACTCTAAACTTTATTACTCTAATTGTATTGCTATTTTAATAACCATTTTATTATTATTAAACTTTCAAAAATTTTAAAAAACCAAGTGATTTGCATTTTTCCCAGGATAAAGGGAAGAACCCTTGCCCACCCTGGGGCCATCCTGCTGCCCTTGGTGGCCGTGCCCAGGAGGAGATGACTGTCCCTTGCTGGTGGCAGTGAATTAAAGCAGGGTGGCTTTTGCCAAGGACCTTTTTTTTATTGAGGCAGCGAAGCACAAATCATCTCCAGGAGTTTGACTGGTTAAAAATGAGAAGATCTGAAAGTTGTTGCAAGTGAGTAATAATAATAATTATTATTATTATTATTATAACCTCTCTCTCTGGCTGCTCCAAATGAGGGCCTGTGAGATTATCATTAAATCCATAATCTGTGCACCCCCCTGCTGCTTTTTGGGGGTGATGCTGCTCCAGCCCACGTCCCACCCTGGCTCTGCAGGAGTTGTCACAGCTCCAGGCTCAGAGGCAGCTGCCTAATTGCACCAGCGATGTTTTTTAAATTTCTCCTACGTTTCCTCCATCTGATAAGGTCAAGCCCACCTTGAGGACAGCTGCTCTGCTGTCTTTTCCTCTTTGGGATCCACGGAGGATGCAGCTGCTCTGACCTTTTACATAAACCTCGTTAAAGGTGACCAAGAAATGCACAAAATGGATCTCCCAGAGCAGTCTGAAGGAAGTGCTTTGGGTGTGTTTTATTTGTCATGCCAGGTGTCCCACAGGATCACTCATGGGGGGCAGGGCTCTGCCTGCTTTTCATGGAAAATTAAAGTAACTAGGGACAGGCAGCCTGCAGGAAGAACATCCCTGGCTAAAACTGGAATTTTATGGCTAGAAAATACAAAAACAGCAACTAGCCTGCTCTGGGCTCTTCAGCAAGGTGGGTTTTTCCTCCAATTTTTTCTTTGGTTTTTTTTTTCAAGTTGGGACTGACTCTGCTGAAGGAATGAAAAATTGGGCTGGATTTTCCAACGTGTCCTTGCAAGGCCATTGCTGTGACCTGGTGGAGACTTCCAAGGGCTTGGCCATGGTCCAGGTGTGAGGCTGAGAGCTCCAAAATGCCCCTGGGAGGTCCTGGCTCAGCATCACCTGGCTACTGGTGCAAAGCAAGGCCACCAACACCAACACCAGGAGCTCAGGGCTTGTTCTGCAAGGGAGGAACCAGATTTGGGACCTGGTGACTGCAGAGAGCTACACTGACCCATTTTCCTCTGGCTGGTGGATACAGGCACTGGGAAAAGCTCCATAGCAACTGGATGTGCACAGTCTAATGATGAAATAAATCCCCACGGTGCTCCCTTGTGAAGATAAATGGATCCAGGATGTTTCCCCCCTCGCAGCCATTAGGAAAGGTCTATATTTAGAAGGTCCTGTCCCACTTTGCCGTGTGCCAAACAGCAGCACAGCCTGGGCAAGGGCAGTGAGTGGGATGAGCAAGTCCAGGACAACACATGGAACATCCTTCCAGGAAGCTTTGGCAGCATGAGGAATCTTGCTGGTTATCCCATGGCATTTTGGGTGGGCGTTTTTCCCTCCCAAAACCAGTGCCAGGCACTCCTGATGGTGGTGGTGGCATTTCACACCCACTTGAATTGTGCACCCAACAGCCCCATCCCAGGTGTTAATCCCAAAAGGAGGGACAGATCCAGCAGTGCTGTTGGATCCGTGAGTGTCACCCCTGGAAGATCTCAGAAAAACAAGGCAGCAGCAGCAGAGCTGTGTTATTGAGAATATTTTGGGTTCTTTCCTGGTTGTCTTTTCTTTAAGCTCTCCACAGCAGCTCAGGTCAGCTCTTATTACCTTCGGCTGTCCCTCCTGTCCCCTGGCACAGAGCACTGAGACACAGACAGTGAGAACTTTGAGATGGCACGATAAATAAAATAGATGCTGTTATTGCAGCCCTCTCCTGTTTGCTGCTGCCATGGTTTCTCATCTCTTCTCTGACTTATTGCTGATGTCTCCTGTCAGCCCAGCTTGCCTCTCTCGGAGATGTGATTTATGGGCCAGGGAGGCAGAGCAGAAACACGGCAAAATTGCAAATGAGGGTGCTGGGAGGAGCACGGGGGAAAGACAAGGAGCGATTGTGATGAGGATGTGCAAAAGGGTCCTCGTCCCACCGCTGGGTGACAGCGGATGGGTTTGGGGACAGCGTGCTCAGACAACCGAGCAGCCTCGCTCCAGGGCTCCAGCTCAGCACCTCCGAGCTGGGAGAAGCAAAACCTGGAGCAGGGACACGATTCCTGTCACCTCCCAAGGTGAGCCCTCCATTCCATACCCAACCCAGCACTGCCCATATCCAGCAGGAGCCTCAATTGCTGCGGATCCACCCTGTTCCTTCTGCTTCCAGGAGTTTGGCCCCTCTCATCCCCGTTTCCCTGCAGCCAAGGTGGTTTGGATGCGGGCAGGACACGCAGGAAAGAGAAACCAGAGCTTTGGGAAGCTTGTCCTTGCTGGCAGCCCCTGCAGCACGGCAGGATGATGCTATTTTCACTCCCTAGGCTGAGGCTCGTGATAATTGAAAGCTGCTCTGCTCGGTCCTGCAGCATCCTCAGGCTCCAGGCACCTCTCACATGCCCTTCCTGCTGCCAGCCCAAAACCTGCGAGGAATGTGGAAGTGCCGAGTGAACAATCCCTGATTTTTGCTGGATTTCATTGCAAGAGCAGGGCTGGGGAGGGGGGACTCATGGGGGTCCTCTGTGTCACCCTGCAGAGCATTCCCAGGAGTGTGAGCGAGTAACTGTGTGCTGGGAAGGGGAGAGAGAGCCCAAAACATTCCCTGTAAAACTCAGGGAGAAGATGAGAAATGAGGATTTGTGTTAGAAATGAAAATTAAAGCAGTGCATGGTTTCATTTCCTTGCACCGAACAGCACAGGAATTCCAAAGGCTGCTCCGAGGCAGATGCTGCTGCTTTAATCTGGTTTTTTGGCCAGTTGTGCACACATGTACCAATCCTGCTTGGATTACACTTTTCAAGGATTACAGCTCAAATCCAGCAGGGCTTTTAATGCCTGGAATGGGGCAGAGCAGCTGACATTAATATATTCCAGGAGTGCAAACCCAGGCAGCGCTGGGATCATCATTAGAAAGTCTGATGGAGGATTATAATAAAACTTGGAGAAATCAGCCACACTGCTGGGGATTTTTCTTTTCCCCTGGGCCATGGCACCCACTCATCGAACAGTTCTAGATTCTGGATAATTATTCCAGGGAAAATCTGATGAGTGGAGCCACTCTGGAATGCTAATGGTCTAAGCTTAATAATGGAGCTCTGTGCATTGTATCTTAAGGTTTACAAGTAAGTACTGTATTCAAAATAAGCAAGCATTGTTTTAACCAAAAGTATGTGTATTTATAGTGATTGGATAGAACTACTGTCAATATGCTTTTGCTTTGTGTGACTGGTCAAAAAGCTTTTAAAGTAAGTTGTAACATTAATTCTGGGTCTGCTGCCCGGCATGTGAGCTGCTGGCATCTTCCCATTGTTATAACCATATATAAAATGGACTGATGATAAAAATAAACAGCTCGAGATGCATTCCCAGCAGTCCTGCCCCGTTTGTGAATTGTACACAGCCCCCAGAGCACTCCTTCCCTTGCTGGGCTGGGCCATGCACAAGGATTTGTGGCATGAGGACACCTGGCAGAGCTTCAGCAGCTCCGTGGCTGTGGCCAGGCACCGGCAGGGATGAGCTGAGCTCAGCTGAGCCCTCTGAGAGCAGAACCCTTTTATCCCATCCCTGTTTGAAGGCAGACAGAGCTCAGGATGGCTCTGCTGCTGCAGAGTCAGGGGAGTTCAGTTGAGGACTCTGCCTTGAGTCATCTTGGCCAAAAATCACACTGGGTAAACTTTCCATTCCAGCAGATTGAGGAAAGCAGCAATGAAGCTGCTTTGGGGATTTTGGGGGATGGCAGAGCCTGATGAAATATTGAAGAGCCAGGCCATCTGTAACTGCTGCATGAGCTGGGGAGCACAAACACCAACTGGGCAGAGCAGGAGGGGCTGCTGGCCTGGCCTGATGGACACCCATCCTCCAGGAAAAGGGGCCAGGGTGACAGATGGCACCGTTTGCTAGGAAATACATCCATTTTCCCCCTGTTTTTTTGGCAGTCTCACAGTCAATAATGTGCAGATGAGAGGTGGGAAGGCCCAGCACTGGCTGTGGACGTGGAGCAGAGCTCTGCTGTGTGGCTGTAACTTTATTTAAATAGATTGTTGTTACACACACTCTTATCACAGCAAAGAAGCCAAGGAAACTTTCCCCGTGGATTTGGGGTTGGTGTGGGACAGAGGAAGGAGTTGTAATGAGATTTCCATGTTGGGATGTTCAATCCTGCCTCCAAGAACTGTGATGAGGAACTGATGTCCCCTTGCTCAGACCTCTCCTGGGGGGCACAGGACACTGGGAATGCTCTTGGGTCCATCTAGTGGAATAATTAGTCCCAAGCAATATGAGAAGCCAAATTAAATCCTTAATTACCATTTCAGCCCGGAGAAGAGATGCTTCTTTCCATTTTTTTTGCCAAAGAACGAGCTAAAGTTGGGTGTAACGCCAGGAAAGGCGAGGAAGTTTCAATTTTCACACGTGGAGTGGAGAATCCTTGGGAGAATTCGGCTCTTTGCTCCTGCTGGGTGGAAAGAGCAGCACAATTTGCAGCACAAGGGGATCTCTCGGGTGCTGTTTGCTTGAGGTGGCCCGTGGCTACCAGCCACTGCATCCTCCTGCAGAAGGAGACAGTAAACAGGCTGCTCTGCTGTGTAAAGACATTAAATGGGTTAAAAAAAAGGAGGAAAACCAACAAATATTTACAGCTGGGAGCTCCTAAAGGCAGGTCTGAGAGGCAGAAGTGGGGTGAAGTGGTTGGAGAGATCTCCCCTGGCTTTGCTGGGATGTGGGATAGAGAAAAGGTCAGCAGGGATGTGGGAACTGGGTAAAGAAACTTCCCTTTGTTGGAATCTCTGCATGGCCAACAGGGCAAGGCTGGAGCAAAATATTTCAGGTTTCAAGTGTGAGTTAAAAGAAATGTAGAGTTTTAAGATGATTCTTTTTGACATAAAAAGCAAAATGTTTCTCCCAGAGTCCTACTTGTGCACATGGAGATTTTGGAAATCCTGGAGAGCCCAGATGTCTCAGGTGGGTGAGAAATTGCCCTGCCCTGGTCTTTTTTTGGCAGAACTCCTTCCAGCTTGGATGCAAGGACAGATCAGGAGCTCAGGAGAAATTCCAATCCCAAATTTCCAGGGCACATTTTCATCTTCCTCTGCTTTTGTCGCCCTGCTTGCACCTTGCCAAATAAGAGCTTTGTCCTCTGCTTTGCTGGGACTCCCACAGAGTCTTGCTCAGCCTAAAGTTAGTCTGGGTCTGGAAAAATAAACCTGAAGTGATCTTGGACTCTACCTGAGAAATTTGGTTCAATACCACAGCGTGGGCAGGATTTGGGAGCTCCCAGGTGAGACTTTGCCTTGGTGACCTTCTGGGACCTTCCATCCAGCCAAAATTTGGGATGGAAGGATTCCAGAGCCCCAAAACTCAGCGTTCCTGGGCCTTTGCTCTGCCTCCCTTCCTGGCAGCTCTGTGAATGCATCAAATCTCTGATAAATAATGAGCTTTTTCCATTCTTCTCCCCAAATATCTTGTTTTCCTGCCAAGCTTACCACAGGTGAAGCATCTCCTGGCAGAGGGGAAAATTCCAGGGGTTCACCTCACATTTTTGTATTTTCTCTTCCCTGTGTTACCCAAACATCTTTTAGACTTTCTTTAACCTTTTCAAACTCCTCACTAGCAGGGCTCGCTCTGTTATTTCCACATCGAGTTGGCATTTTCACAGGAAAATAGCCTTCCCATAAAAATTGTGCATTTATTGAAGAAAAGAATGGATTTTTCCATTGGGGGAATGGGAATATTGGCTCCCCAGCCAGGTGGGCACCTTGAAGCTGTAAACTGCCTCCCTCCAAAGACATTTAATTATTCTGAAATGATTTTTTTTGTTGGCTTATTTTTTTTTTCTGTAAAATATTCCACCTTTTTATTTTCTCTTCCAATTTCAAGCCAACAAATACAAAATAAATCAACTCTCAATTATTTCCCCCCAACTGCTTCCCCCGGGGCTGTGCTGCGATTATGTGGAGAGAAATAAATTTGGTTAAACAATGGTAAATTGTCCTGAGCTGCCTTTTATTATCAGGAAGTTGCTTTGGCAACTGGATAATTTGCTGATTTTTTTTACATTATTTTAGTCCCTTGCATCTATTCATGAGATTATTCCAAATGTTATATCAGTGCATTTAAATTAAGCATGAAAGTGTTTTAGGGCTTTTTGCAATGATTGCTTATTTATTTTATTATCAATAATAAATTTCAACCCAAAGCTTGAAGCTTCCCCTTTCAAGGACAGTAAAAAGGCAGGAGAGAAGCAGCTGGTGGCACATAAAGAGCAATGAAACAGGGCTGGGGTTGTGGGGAGGCCGCAAAGAAACTGAGCTGGGATTTCTGGGTTCTTCTCCTCAATTCTTTCTCTTTTTAAGGGAAATTTGTCTTCTCTGGGCTCCAGAGCTGCTCCAAAGGAAAGGAATGAAGTTGGGCTGAGGTTGCCGTGCTGCGAGGTGAAGTGCTTTTGGTAGGACTGGTTGGAAATGTGGCTCTGTTGTTGTTTTTAATGACAAAATTTTGATTTTCATAGAATTGCCGGAGGGTTTGGGTTGGAAGGGACCTCAAAGCCCATCCAGTGCCACCCCTGCCATGGCAGGGACAGCTTCCACTGGCCCAGGCTGCTCCAATATCGTAAATGCAGGCGAACCCAATGGGAAGAAATGACGATGTCTGACTCAATTCAGAAAACTGAATTATTTCTTTATTATAATTATGCTAAAATACATTAATATGCTATATAAAAGGAGGATACTAAAACTACATACTACTTTCTCTGACTCTAACACAACTTGTGACCCTCTCTCTGTCCAGCCCTTGGTGGGTTGGATTGGCCATCAGCTCAAACAATCCTCGCCAGAATCCCACCAAGCAACACCCCAGGGAAACAATTC